GAGACGTCAGTGATGTCACCGCCTGGAGCCAGTTGTTTTGTGTCATGTGTGAATGGTAGTGCAATCAAGATGCACTGCAATGTCCTACTGACCTAGTACGTGTGATGCTGAGCATTTTGATTTGGACCAATCTTGAAGACTTCCCAAAAAGGTCGACATGTATGTGCTTACAACTTTTCTGTGATATCTCGCGTGGATCAACCCGCTATGAATTTTATTGCAAGATATTTATGCACGATGCAATCCACCAAACAATCCATTTTGGCCTCTAGTTCATATGGCCTATATACATCTGTGGACTCAATGTGTTTTGCCTGTGTGTTTAATATATGTGATATGTGCAGGAGAGCTGAACCGCAGTGCTTCGACAGCGTCTACTGTGGCTGCATCAGCGGAAGAGCTGCGTGCGGCCTTAGCACATACACATGGTTTTCGCACACCACCAAGCAAGATTCGCAAAACCCATAGTACTGGCCCAGAAGAGCCTAGCAGGGAGAAAACCGAACTTGCAGGTGGTAGGAGAGCTGCCATGGTGAAAAAGGAAACCAAGATGGCTCGGGGGACTGTGAAATGCCAACCGGCTCAGCCTGTTGCGCCAGCAAGTCAGCCTGAGACAACCTTTGCACAGCCAGTGACTCTGCCGTCGAATCAGATCACTCAGACTCAGCCAGCTCCTGAGCCTGCACACACGGCCAAGAGGCCAAAGATCACTGCAGCAAAGTCATCAGCGGCTCCCAAGCATGACACCAGTGACACATCAACTGCACCCGCAATTGCAAAGTCTGAGCCACATGAGGGTGTGAAGACACCAACCACCCCAGGCCCTCTGAGCGCCGTCAGGGAACGGCATGTTGCAGCTGCTGCTGTGGAGAACTTGAGACGCCCAGATTCGACCCAGCAGTTGAACCAAACTGCAACTCCGACTCCTAGTGCTGGGGATGTTCGGGAGTGCAGAGACCCCTTGGAGGCTCATATCAATGGGTTGGGAGGTCCTGCCACTCTTGCACATGATGATGACACAGCTGATCCTGGCACTGATCAGGTGGATGAACCTGAACACGATGAACCTGCGCATGAGTCTAAACGTGAGGAACCTGTGGATCCTGCACCTGAGCCTCCTGCAAAGAAGACCAGGCGACCAAAAACAGCACAGGAAAAAGCCAACCATGCGAGGTTCATGCGCTTCACACGCCACATCCAAAGTCACTAGGTTGCATGCATGCATATTTTTATATTACATGAATTATATTGCATAGAATCCGATGTGAGCAGGCGATGTGAATGTTAGCAATTAATTGAGTCTAATTTTGCACGTGTCGCTTCTACATGAGGGCATCTTACATGGTATGATCGATCGATCACGAATCGTACTAGTTGGAAAAACAACTAACGACTCTTCCTGGCAACATTATATTACATGGATTGATCTTTTAGGGGGCGATTGATTTTCCCAAGACCAGGTCGGCTTAGCACCTGCATCTCAGGCCATGCACCACCAGAGATTCAGAAGATCCACAAGGCTTCACGCTACAGTGACTTGCCTATGTTTGTGTGTAGGTGCATTGGAGAAGCTTTTTTGGCATGGTCAGGATTTGGGGTCAAACAATTCGTTGCACATGCCATGCCAGCCATGCCACTTGAAAATCCAGAGTCCAGACCTGTGCTTTCCGACGTTGCGCAAAGCTGTCAGTTTCACAACCTTCGGGAAACATACTGCCCAGGTGTCAACCCATCTAAGTCCATGTTGACATGTTGTTGACATGTTGGGTCTAGCATACATGTCACGTATATACGTGTATACGCATGCACGCATGCATGATTATGCATATGCATGCATGCATATGCATGTGCAACATTGAATCCTTTTGGCATGAGTCCAGTACTTCCCTAGCTCAGGTTCTGGCAAATTGCAGCTGCTTCTTGAGGAGTGGTTGACGACAGGAGGGGATTGGAAAAGCTCCTCTCTGTATCAGAAAATCACCTCCCGGAAATCCGAGAGGAAGTACGGGGCCCGGGTCTGGCTCACGAAAGCCCAGCTGATTCAGAAATACGGATCAGAGGCATTAGCCCAAGAGATCATTGACTCCAAGACAGCAGATGAAGAGACCCGTCGTACTCAAACAAAAGCGCATCCAGATGCGCCAGAGTCTGAGGCTGGACATGTGCATCATTGACATGTATGATCTTTGTTGAGGGGACATTGACAACTGGCTAGAACATCCGCAACTGGCTGACTTCATGTGATCTTGCCCTGGTGAACAGAATAGATCAAATCTAGATGAGCACTAGTGGTTGCACAATATTTCATTGGGCTCAGTTACTCAAATATTTTGCTAACTCTGTCGAACGGCAGAGCTTTAGCATAGCTGTGCATCGATCGCCGCGTGAAGTCAACAAAGCTCTTCCTGCTTGCAGGCCTTAAGGCTGTACCTCGTCTGGGATTCCGAAGGAATCTCCGAGAGTGAAGACACGATTCTGGAACAAATTTTTGAGGCAGCAGATGCAGATTCTGATGACGACGGCTCAGGGAAGTCCGATGGTAAGAAAAAGAAATCAGGCAAGAAGGACAAAAAGAAGAAGAAGCGCAGTTCAAGTGGGTCAGTGCAGACTGTTTCCTCAAGTGGCTCATCAGAGGCCAGTGTGTGAACACTTGATCCAGCATATATGTGCTGTGCATGCATGAATGAATGCGTTCTATACTTGTGGGTTACAGAATTAGATGTGAGCCCAATCCAGAATCCCAAAGTTTCATATTTGCTTGACACCAATCTAATATAATATGCATATATCTCCTGGGATTGATTGCTTTGATCTATGCTCATAATTCTGGTTTGATTGTCCCACACAATGTTCCGCACATTGCACATGTGACAGAAGAAGAAGAAGAAAAATAAGCGAGGAAAGGGTGGCAAAGCAAAAAAGGAGACCAAAGAACAGAAGGACAAGCGATTGTTAAGGGAGAAGGAGAAACGCACCAAGGAGGAGCAGCGTGAGAAGGACAAGGAAGAAAGGGAAGTTATCGCAAAAGCCAGAAAGGCAGGTCTGCACATTTGGGGTTGCATGTTGATAAACGTGCAAGTCATTCGAACCCTGATCGATTCATATGTATCGAATATTGATCAATCGATCACTCAATTTCTTACTTCCTTTAGATGGCAACACCACACACAGACATATGTCCGTTTCACACACACCGTTGCTTTTGGTCACGCTTCCCTGTTTGCTTGATGCGCAGACCTTGCACAAGATCAATGACAAAGTCACCCACGCCTGCAAGAAGGAAAAGATTGTGGCAAATATGTCCGGGACCTTGAGGGGAGGCGGTGAAGGATGGAGCATGGGTGCATGCAGTTATGGAAAAAACTCGTCCCAGTGAGTTGGAATGTCATATTGTCAACTCAAACGATTTGAAAACTGTTCTGGGTTTGATGTCCTTCGCTTCTATATACTTATACTCCCAGGTCAGGCTTGGTGCAACAGTTCCATCTTGTTTGCTGCGGGTTTGGTGGTTGTCAACTGTGGTTCACGGCTTGGAATGCAACAACCTGTCCCCCACTTTGTATAAATATGTGGGCCCGCTCGACTATCTCGAGCTTTCACGGTATCTAACATCAATCACGCCATGGCCTGTTCTTTAAAGCTTTGATTGAGATGGTCGTGTTCATGTGACTTAGGTCTCACATGTTTTTCTTGAGGATGCTTTTGTTGGGTTCTCGGTCGTCTTGGTCCTTTTGTTTCCCAGCTAGTTCAAATCTGACATGAACACACTGCATGACTATGATGTTTTCTGTTATGAACACATACACCGGTTTAATGTGGGCCAGTATTGGTTGGAAAGCTTGTCCCCAGGCCCCAGGTCTGCCATATTTGTAGCAGGTCCCTCAACTTCTCATCTATTATCCACTGATGTTCAAACAAGCATCCTTCCCCCTTACGTTTGCGCATTTGTCCAAATCCAGTCGATCCTTTTGGGTTGATCTCCCAATGACATCCACTTGTGTCACGTTGCATTCAACTATACTGTCGCTGATAAACTCACCATGCCCCAGCTCTCCCACCAACCCAACCCCCACCATTCCGGGGCTGTCCGAGACTTGCATCATCTTCAGGCCTGGGCCGCTGCGCAATGCAATCGAGGGTGAGCTGCTCGAGTTCCGGGGTAAGTTGATCAGGGCCCGGGATGTTCTGCAGAAATCCATTGACAGCTTGAAGGCCACTTGCATGAGTTACGATCTTTTGGAGAATGGTCGCATCAAGCCATCATGATTGATATGATGATACCATGTTAGCTTTTGGCCAGCACATGTGCTATGCAACTAAGGTGTCCGGATTGGCAGATTTGATCAGTGATGGTGATCGATTGGAGAATAGTTTTAGAGATTTTCTGACACGGGTAAACCTAAAATAGTAGGATTGCCGAATGCTGGGGCTGGCTGCGTTTATCAAAGCTGTAGCGCTATGTTTGCATAGGTTTGCAATGGGTGGAGGTTTGGGGGATCAATGTTACCATTACCCCATGCAAAATGTTTTGCAATCCAACCACCCAAACAGCAAAGTGTGTGCTGCTCAACCTGGAAACCCTCAAACAACGGAACCCAACCTCCACCAGGGGAGTCAATCAGGCAAGCGACGCCAAACAGCTCGCAGACCAGCATTTTTTGAGATGATGCTACGGTGTGAGTTCCACTTTGATCTGGAGTGGTCAATGTGGGGCATTTCTAGTACCAAAGATGATCTCAGGCCGATCTAGATAGACGTTGGCGGCTCTTGTGCGGAAAAACAATTTGACATATCACCTGGACGACGAATCTGATAATAATTGATCTGGCTTCTCATATATCATCACCTTCCAAGCAATCTCAATCAAATTCTCCAAGTTGCTAGGATCGATGGTACCATCTTGCAAAATTTATGCACGTTGTTCTTTGCATGATGATCCAATAATCGGATCATTGTTCACACATCCAAAATTTTACCTGCAATCGGCTGTCCCCGCGCAGGTGCTGATGACGATGAGGATTTCATATCTGCATCGCTCCAGAATGCCATCCAGGAAATTAGCAGTGGAGTCCTTTGGCTATTATAGACAGATACCAATGTTCTCAAGCCTTGAAACATGAATGTCATATATTGTGTTGGATTGAACTTCGATCTATATAATAGAGTGACCAATCTTTGTTGATGGGTGTCTCAACTATCATATCTGTCATTGAACCTGACCAGAACAATGCACGTTTATAGGGATCGAATGTTGTTAATTTATAGACCGATCGACATGCAAACTATATGTTGGCCCCTGGACAAACACCCCACCATGTTGCCGCATGCTGAGGGCTCGACTGCCGGCAAGCAGATGCGGGCTTTGAAGGCTCACGTGCAAGCTCCTTGTCCACAGCGTCTCAGGTTTGTTGGGAGGCTGGTGGATTGGGTTGATGGGGGATTGTTCGAGCTATGTTATATGTAGCTCACCGCGCTTGTGACAAACAGAGTTCATGACTTCAACTCCCCCAGCTGGATTTGGCCCTGGTTTAAGCCATGGGGTCTGAAGTCAATTGAGGAGGCATGTCGCTTTGTGCCATATTAGTGGTTTGAAATGTGGGACCTCGAATGATTGGTTTGTTGGATGATTCATGCCCCTTTTTTGATGCTCACCCCAACATATCATTCCTATACTATAGAGTGTAATGGTCATGCGTGGCCATGATTATTATCGACCTGAGTTCACTGACATGGACAGGGCATGTGTTCATTGTTTGGCCATGCATGTATTAGAAGGATCTCTTATAGCAACTGCTGAGTGAACATCAAACTTGATCAAAGCTTTTGGGCATACTGACCGGCATAAACAAACCCTCCACTTATGACCCAGCCATCAACCCACCACTTTGCACCCACCAGGATTCGGCTCAACCCTATGGCCATCACAGCATGACCAAGCGGCTGGGCCAGATGTCTGGGAAAAACAATTCCCGGGATTGGTGGAGAATGATGAAGGATGGCCCAGTGACTGAGTAAAATATGGCAAAACTGTCAAATATATGTTTGAACGATATATCATATTATCGGTCATATCGGTATCGATCGAATAATTTGTATTTTGGTGCTGTTTGTCAATTACAGGTCCTTTTTGGCAAACTTTCTGCTAAGCCCTATCCCTATAGTCTATGCTAGGTTCTGGCTGAACATGGTCAGTCACATATTCAACTGACCATGCAAGGCAATTGAACAGATCTTGCTCCCCATCAAATATACAGACCTGGACGACGGTATTGACAAATTTAAGTTGGAGACCTGGCCTGTCATGGACCCGCATTCGATAGCACACTTCTTGTTTGAGCACGCTGGACTCCAGATTCCAGCGGCAAGCTTGAGGGACTACTGGGAATTTCATTCCCAGCACGGTGAGCACTGGGCACAAGGGGTGCCCTTTGATGCAATGCCAATTGGTGTGTATGGTGACGGCGCTCGTGTCAACACAAAGTTTGGCAGCACGAACTTGGTTGGGATCTACTTCAACTTCCCGTTGTGGAAACCAGGTTCGGTGAGAGCATCTCGCTTCCTTGTGACGGTGATTCCAGAAGAGAAGCTCTGGCGACACTACACTCTCAACTGCATTCTACGACGTTTGACCTGGAGTGTCAACTGCTTGCAAGAAGGGCATCATCCAGAACGCGGGCCTGGAAACCAACTGCTGCCGAAGCACCTTGAAATGCTTGCGGGAAGACCTTTCAAGTTCAAGTGCGTGTTGACAGAGATCCGGGGAGACTGGCAGTAGCACAAGCGGACCTTTCGTTTCTGGCGGTGCAGTTGGAATGGCAAGTATATTTGCCACCACTGCCCTGCACAATCCCAGTCAAACAGTTCCCAGGATCTGTACTGGTCGTATGAAAACAATACTTGGGATGCACACCACTTCACTGCAGCAGAGTTCTTGGAAGACCGGATGCCACCTGCTGGGATTTGTTTCTTGGATTTTGGATCCCGGTCCGTTTTCTCTCGATTTTGTAATATGTCTGTTGCTGCTTTGCTCATGATTGTTGTGCCAATTGCTCAGCAAGGTCCTTTGGTTGGCCTGAGAAACTTTCACCCCAGCCTCATACGCTGGTGCTTGATGCATGTGGTTCACTTGGGCCTGCTCTTTGTTTGTAATGGCTCAGGCCTGCCGCTCACCTGATAAGTGATCGATAAATTTTGTCGGTGTTTGTTGGAGAACAGAGTTCTTTGTTTGCACCTGCCGTGCATCACAAGCCACCTGCAATGCTTCTGCCCATCCTGCTGGCACATGCTGTGTCGTGATGATTTGCTTCCTGCAGCCTTCTCAGGAATCTCCTGCTTCGATGTGGCTACTTTGGCAGGGACGACGTTTCCATGGCCATCAAGCTTTCCAGGGCATTCGTAGCTTTCAAAGCTTGGATGTCGGCCAACAAGGTTGAGTGTTCCCAACCACCGTTCACAGAGAAGATGGTCCCTTGTTGCTTTTAACTCAGTCAGGTTTGTAAATTGTTTTTTGGTTACCAGCACTTATATTTTTGCACACCTCCTGTTCGATTTTGGTGGGTGGAGTTTGGCCATTTTGCTCAGCTCTTCAAGAAGAACTCGGACATCCTGCTAACCAGCAAAGCTTACAATGGGCGAGTGGTCGTGCAGTGGTTGTCCCATGAAGTGCACCTAGCAAGCACTTCGCCTACCTTCTCAGCATATGACCCACGATTCTTCGTCATTGTTGCTGCATTGACACTCATTTTCATATAGTAGTGTTTTGTTCGAAGGTCTCTTTTGAGCCCTCCAATCCAAACTCAAGAACTATGATATTAACATCAAGGACCTTATAGTGGACCATGTACTTCGATCGACCGATATGTGTTGCGCAAGGGCTGGTGGGTTGGATCCGGTATGGTCGGTTGTCGTCCTCGTGGGGTTGTTCCCTCCGTCCTGCACGTGCCAAGGAGACGAATGGCAAGATTCCTTTGCGGGCTTGAACGAGCTGGCCGCTATTTGACACTTGGTAGTGCGCACTACTTGTGTGGCAGGGGTGGGTGACTTGATGTACACCATGAAAAAGAAACACACAACAGTTGTCCCATGTGCTTTAAGATTTGGTTGTGAATTGCAGCCATGATTGAACTATATTGAACTGGTGTCATAGAATTGTTCAAAGTCACAACTTAGGACCCCTGAAGAATCTGAATCCATTTTTGAAGATGGCTACGCATTTTTGAAACACTACAAGTGCCTGACCCTGATGTCTTTGAGGCCTGGTGATGGTGTTCATGTTGAAACCTTTGTGGCCAATCAATCCTTTTTCCCAGCGATACCCGGACACGAACGTCTGGTAATGCTCGCTAGGCTTGGAATGCAAGAGTGGTTCATGAAGCCAAAGTGCCATGCATCTTTGGCTGCATGCAAAGTGCAGGTGATTCATGTCTGTTCTAATCGATCGAGTTCCCACGAAAGATGCACCTGCCAGTGTCAACAGCATACTTGCGAGTCAGATCAGCTGTGGGATCTTTTAAACTTTCCCTCATACTTAGGCCTTGTGGCACCTATTGGTCGGCATTCGTGACAAAAGAGCCTAGCCCAACACCTGTTAATGCAGTGATTTGGAACTCTGATATGCACAAATTTCCCACGTCTTGTGCCCTGCCCGAAGCAGCTGAGGAAGCAACCCTCGTTTCTTTCATGGCTTCGTCGATGAGGACGCGATGGCATGGATCAAGAGTTCCTTCCTTGCTTTATGGTGTGTTCTATGTGCTGTGCAGTGAGTGGTTTCTGAGCCATGAGAAGCCCAATCTCTGCACTGGTTCAACTAAAGGCCACTCTTGGTCCAAGTTCAAACAACATAGCTAGGATTCTGTGATGGGTTTGTGGGTGAAGCGTGTACCCGTATACGTATACTATATTGGACATGCAGCTCAGGCACTTATTTGAAGGCCCACCCTACTCGTGCCATCCGCTGGATCATGCGGTGTGGAAAGCTCAGGACTGCGGGAAGGGTGACCTGCATGGATTAGTTGTGTTGCAGTGCTCGTTTAGTGCTAGCCACGACTAGGATCTAGCCGCCGCATCCATTGAACCGGCATGCAGGATTTGGGCATCTCATTTGAAGATCAAAAAGCTGCTTGGATCAAATCCTGGCTATAATTCATCCGACATCATCCAGCATAGACCACACACTAGTGGTTTCGCATATAGCGCTATACCTATCCTGGATTTGCTCTAGAGATCTGATTGAACTCATGAGTTCTTGCTCTCATCACTGAGGTTTAACCGGCACGTGGCTTTGCGATTGGCCCGCAAACGTGGATGAGAACGCTGGATCGTGTGTGAAGAGTGGAGAAAAGTTGCGCACTGTACTACCATGAATGCAGGTCTTGGCGTGAACCATGACCCCACAAACGAACAAACGAAGTTCTACTAACGACCTTTCTTTAAAAGGCTCATGGAGCCTCAGGGTATAGAAACCGATCAACGTTTGCAGTAGCCATCTTCCTCGCGCCAAAGCCAGTGGGATGGGAATCTGTTCGGCAGTTCACACAACGAACAGCTGCTGTTCTATGCTGTCATAGAAAGTCTGAAATGGTATGAAGGCTGAAAAACAGTCTTGAGACAAATGTCAGCCTGGCTAGCCCAAGAGCTTAGCTGCCAAGTGCTAAAGTTCTGCCAAGACCCGCTGGTCGAACGAGGTCGAGCTCAGCTGAGCTCCTGGACCAGGTTTTGTTGTCAGTCATTGACTTGAAAAAGTGTCCCAGACAACTCATTTTGCCAAGTAGGGACACATTTCACTTAGTCCAGTCTCCCTACCTCCCTCCTTCTCCGACTTTCGAGGGCAATCGCCTCGTCCCCCAGGACCCAGACTCTGTCTCACTCTGAAGTCTGACTTCTTATATCTCATTTTGCCTCCGTTTTGGTTGGGGGTTTGGTCAGCATTTTGGCCCCCAAACGGTGGCTGCGGGCACCTGAGCGGCATGCCTCGAAATGCCGGCGCAGGAGTCCAGGACTCTGTGGAATTTACTTTGCATACGACACGTATACGGTAGGCCATCTAAAAGCATCTATAGATGCATCTTAAACATGGATTTGATGCCAATGTGTATTCAATTTGTGCTGGTTGGTCTAGTCTTCAAGCAAAGCTGCCTCGCATGCACATTTTTCGCAGTGACACTTTTGATGCGCCGAACATCGTGAAATTCTCCCATCTGGAGAAATCGAAAAATCCTATATCGACTCCCCCAGGTCCATTTTTGCCGGGTGCAGTTCTTGATCGGGGTGATCCACTCACTGACTCAAACCTCAGTGACCACCCGTCCCAGGCTTAACGCATCCGGAGAAGAGCCTCCCCAGTGAGTGGGGGGCGCCCAAAATGGAACGCCGAAGGACTCGGTGGGTCGCAGAAGGGTCCGGTGTTTTGAACGTATTTGTTACAGGTCCATTGGGACCAGCCCAAAGCCCAGAACCCGTTGAGCCTCATGAAGTACTGAGTTGGTTATAATTACGCCAGCCCAGAACCCAGATTCAAAAATCGGCAGTGTACCAGTGGCACCCTACAGCCGCACCAGCACCCATACTCCAAAGCGCGCACAGGCACTGTTTTCTATACTTGCAACGCAGCAGCGGCACCCTACAACAACACCCCAAATCCGAAGTGCCCACAGCAGCACCCAAGCTCTCAAGCGCACAAAGCAGCGGCACCCTTCAACAGCACCAGCACCCAAGCTGGCTAGAGCACACAGCAGCGACACCCTGCAGCATCACCACACCCAGGCTCGAAAGGACACACATGCAGCTGTTCTGGTCTTTTCCGATCAAAACAGGAGTCAAATGGGTTGCAGGTCCTTAATATTAATCAATGGAGATGTAGATATCTTATGAGAAGATGCTTCGCATGTGGATTTGGATCATGCATTTTGCGCCCAAGTCCAACGGTACGTTTTTCATCCTTTTTCAGCCCACGACGATGGCGATGGCGGCATCATATGCTAGATGACTTTACACCAAAGCCAAGGTCCCAGGGTCCACGATTGCATTCATTTGGTGTGGATGCCAAGGCTGAGGAGCTTCAGGGAAGCGTTGGTGGCACAAGACGCGAAGGGAGCGAAGGCAGTGGCTTTGGTGGAAGGGCAAAAGCATTGCTCCCTACGAAGTTTCTCTGGGGGGGAAGGCGTGAGGTGGCACAGGCTGCCGCAGGCTCCTACGGTCAGGTGTCTTGGGGAGTGTGCAAGCCCTCCGGTTTGTACAGCGGTGCTACTCATTGACATTTGCAGATTGCCGTGCAGCGCATTGCCTTGCATACTGAGTTGATGCATTTTGTGCCAAAGCCGGAGTGAACAACTTTGTAGGTTTTAAGGATGCAATGTGCGCCCTGCATGTGAGGATTAGGCCATGTGCTTGCTAAAGCTACGGCCACTTGTTGATTTTTTTAACCATAAGTTAGCCACTCTGACGTAAGGCTGTGATGGTTTTTAATTTTAGATCTCTTGTGTTTTCCTATACCTTTTGTGTGGGCAGTAAAGACCAATGCAGAGATACAAACGTGTCAAGAGAAGCAGAGGGTTCTGGGTGTTCAGCTCTTTTGCCCAGAAGCGGACATACAGATGCTGAACAATGCTGAAGATCCCAGGAGGTTGTTGAATGAACCTTCAAAACTGACTTGTTCAAAGGGTACGTACTACTTTGAGGTTTGACTCTTCGCGGACCGGTGATTTACATAGTAAATTTGGGATCTCAAAGGTCACGCAGCAACTCATGTCTCCCGTGTCTCGTTTGTTTGTTTAGCAAAGATGTATCTATATTCAGTGAACTAGACCCTAACTCCTCTTTGGGTGTTGCATTCTGTGACCCGTGTGGAGCGTTTGTGTGGAGCGTTTCAGAGTTTCGACCTTGTTTCGGCAGCCGTTTTTCGTGCGGTGGCACGTGTCAGGAGCGATGGAGGCGGCTTTGGCGCAAGCATGTGGAGGCAGGGACGTGGGCCAGAAGATGAAAAGTAGGAACCTCTTGTGGAAAGCGTGCTTGGCCTACTAAGCTGCCTTTTCTTCTTCCAAATTCATACTGTATCAATTAATGTCGTTGCTTCATCCAAGCTCTTATGAAAATTTATGTTTCAATTCTTTGTTTTCATGCAAGCCAGCTTCAGCAGGGCGAGCCTCCGCCTCCATCAGACTGTATGGACCGAATTCACGAAGCTTCGACGCTCACAAAGAAACGACCAAAAACACTGGTGCGCCATCGATCGAAGCTTGCCTTTGAGTGAGTTCGCCTTCCTGAATCCAGTGAAGTAGGCAACAAAAGTGCCTGCAAGGAACATGGTTCTTGTGGAAAAACAAACTCTGTCGGCGACTGCGAAGTACAGACCGTCCGACCCCGTGAAGACCGACCCAATTTTCGTTTTTAAACGTTCCAGAGTTCACACATGATGCCTCATGATGCTTCACTATATGAGTACCCATATCATCCCACTGGCCACTGGCCACTATCCCTTTTTTTCTGGACGTAGTTGTAAAAGACAGGGAGTAGATATTAATGTTGTTTTGATGTAGAGCGAACCACATCAGGACGGATGCGAAGTCTACCCTCAAGGCTTGCTATTTGTCGTCCACCAGCCCGGGCCCAGCCCCAGCCCCACGGCCCTGCCAGTTCGTCACGCACAGACCCATAGTTGAAAGAACCCTTGACAAGAAGACCTCAAACAGAATGACCACAGACACAAGTCAATCACTGTTTGGATGCCGCAGAAAGCCGTACTCAATGAGTTTTGCTTGGATAGTAGGGGTTGCTCTGAAGACTTATTGGGTGGAATACAGCCTTTTGGAGCCTCCAGTGTTTTGTGTCATTAGGAAGATGACCTGATTAAGTCCATCGGTCCATCAATTCTTTGACACCCAAATCATGATACAATTTGTTTTACTTCTTGGAATCTAGAGCATCTAATTGACAGACAGAGCATGATAGAGGCTGTTTGAAGCCACCAACCACAAAGAAACCTATCCGGACAAACCCAGAGTTCACCAAGAACTCACTTTTCACCGGGACGCGGTTTCACGCCAGCGTTTCTTTCTACAGGTGGAAGTGCAGGAGATTGCGGGAACGGTGCAAGCCTCGGTGCCCGACATGGCTGGTGCACAGTCGATCCGAAGGAAGACACTCATTGTTGTGCCGGAGGGCGATATGACTTCAATGCCGCCGTAATATGAAAGATTTACCTGCATTGGAGTGAGTTGTTCAGGTGCTTTAAGGGGTCCCGTAGTAGGGTCACTCCATTTCATGGATGGGTTTGGGATGTGCTGGTTGGGTGCTGAGGAGTTCTCTCCAAGATGGGTGTTTGTTTGATACTTGGTATCGGATGTGACGAGAAAGAGTCACCTTCATGGATTCCCACATCCGAACCAGTGAAAGATCCCGGTTTTTCTCGGGGCAAAGCAACTGAAACATGTTGAAACATCAAATATATATAAATATCAAATATCGACGTGGAGCTCGTTGTGAACGCTTATAGTAAAGGAATCGAAAAGGTACTGCCTCATCGGGCCGCATCGGTTTAACGCATATCCCTTTGGCGTCACCGAAGACGACGCGATCCAACGGACTCGTCGACTCCGGTCCGGGATCGTCGTGGCACGTGGGCCCCACGTGGGGCCGCACCTGAAGGGCCTCCTATGGTTTTAGGCTGGGAGGTTCCTGGCGGTTTAGATATCGTTCATGAACTATATCATTGGGGAATGGCGAAAGGAAGCTTTGCGGAAAAATACATTATATCATAGCTTAAGTGGTATTCCAGTGGATCGAAGTGGTATTCTCTTGTGGCCGTGTACAACGATCAATCCAGCACGGAGACAGCGTGTCGGACGACCCCCGGGGAACCGCTGCACCGCACGGCGCCCAGGTGCATGTGGACTTTGGCCAGCGAGTGAAACAACGCATGCAGGACCTGGGATGACGCGGGGCCGCCCTGTTCGGTGGGGCTCGAAAAGGAAGTTTTACACAGTGCTAAGTCATGTCATCACTGTGTTTTGAATGAGTGATCTGGCAAAAAAAGGTTTATGTAAGTTCCAATTAATGCCTCGTGGTTAAGGGGATCGCCTCAGGGCCTAGGTGGAGCCTCCCTGCTGGTTTGCTCTTTGAATTTTCTCAGCAAAGTTGAACATCACCGCTAGCAACTAGCAACTGACCATCCGACCATCTAGAAAAAAAGCTATAGTTTTTATGATATATGTTGGGAAGAGCACAGTTTTTACACCTGCACACACTTCTTGACCCCCAACCATATTGGCAAAAACACGAGCTGCTCTTCCTCCCCTCTTCCGGTGTTTCACCAGATCTGGGGGCCCAGGAGAGCAGCAGGAAGCTGGGTCTGCAGCTTGGTGCCGAGCTGGCAAATGGGGAGCTGGTGGCCAACAAGCGGGAGGCGTGTATGACTGCATGGCACTTGGGTCTTGAGATGCCTGTGCAGAAGATGGGTTTTGGATGGTGGAATAACATGGGTTCGGTACATGTCAGGTGGTTGTATGACTGTGTGTTGCAGGTCTTGATGGGATTGTTGGAGGATTGTAGGCTTGCTACTTGGGCATCGAGAGAGAGAGGCTCATGGACTCGTCTTCTCTGGCTCGAGCCCTGCAGGCCTGGATGAAGTTTCTGCAGGACATGCAGCAGTTGCCACAAACCAAGCAGTGGGCCAATCGGAAGGCCAAGCAATGGGCACGTTTGGTGGGGTGGACTTTGAGTAGTCATTTGGGGACGCCGTTCCTGAGCTGACCGTGGTCCCTGGTCAGAACCAAATGTAGGGATTAAACATAGGTCTCATCAGTCTTCTAGATGCGGCAACTGTTGGTGAAAACAAGGGAAGAGACCTTTGTAACAAGGTATTTGGCCACTGTGGCAAGTAGAAAATAGGCGATAGATAGATGTGGTTCTTCTTGATCTTAAGGTGTGGGGCTGTATGTTTGTGCATGCTAGAGCAAAAACACAAAACATATCAAAACATGCTGTCTTCAGGCTGCATTTAACGGGTTGCTCGCTGGAATGGTGGTCACCAAACAGACAGAACTGTCTCCCCTACCACAGATAGATGTCTGCATTGCTAGATTGAAACCTGATCTGGTTCAGCGGGATGAGAAAGGCAGCCGAGTGTCCCACTTTTCCACATCTTTGGCGGACCTGGAACCTCCAACTTCATGCTCCCTGGTAATTTACGAATTGTGCATTTTCCCTGATCTTCCCTCTAACAGCTCAAAAATCCTGAGCCGGCATCCGAACCAAACAGAGCTCCCAGCGGCAAGGCCCCCATTGAGGCCTTCTCGCCGTGGTTGGCGAAGTTCGACACTCGCAGCGCCTTTGGCAGCCATGAGGCCGCGCGATGCCGCGCGTGTCGATTCGCGTGGGTGTGGCGAATCGGACTGGGGCGTCGGTGTGGAGCTGTTGGCGTTTCGCTTTGGGTGCAACAGCAGTCAGGTGGAACTCAGTCAGAGCGAGGGGCAGAATTCCTTTTTTGGAGCCAGAAGAGGATCGCTGGGGAGTTGATGATTTCTTGTGAGACCTCTTCTATCCTCTTCTTATTCCAACGCTCAGACGTTGAACCTGAAGACGTTTGATGCAGGTTCCGTGACAAGATCCCCTTGAACACTCCGGACTCAGAGTGCTTCTTAGTTTTGATGGGAAGCAATGTTCAGATGCTCAACCGGTGTCCATTCCAATGACAGATGCTCCATTTGGCGGTACTTTGGGAGGCTGAGGCATGCTGAGGCAACCCGGACATGCTTCATCATTCTCATGGACATACATGCACTCAAGGCAATATTGTTTTTCTCGCAAACCCAACTTGGTGGGAAAGGAATGTAACATTTGCTGAGTCCTATTTTGGCAGAGTTTGCTTGATAGGGAAGCCTGACAATGCTCACACTCCGGTTGAGTTAGTGGTTCAAGTGGGAGAAAGAGAGACTTAGAGATGGGCACACATCAGTTTCCAACAGTTCATTGGAACTTCTGCTCTTGGAATCCTTGGAAGAGCTCAGGCTTTGATGACCGGATTATGAAGTGAGTAGAGTTGGCACCTGGTGGAGCCAGCAATTAGTGATCACCGTTGGCAACAAACACTCAAAGCCACTCTCGAAAAAGAACACTGCAAGACCACTCGCCTCCAAGGAGAATCCTGGTCTAAAACGGCTTGTTTTTCAGATCATGATTTGTTAGCGGCCAGGAACAGCTCGAGGTCCTCGGACAATACAGGCACCGGGCCGGCCCGGATTGACCTGCATGTGACTCTTGCTGCTAAGTATCTCCTATGCATTGTACAATATTGTACAGCAACAATATCATGAGGCTCTGTCATATAATGTCGTATATATATATATACATACATTCCAGCAGCAGTAGCCCAGCACCATACGTACCTGTAGCAGCCAAAAGGCAGACAGGCAGTCTCAGACGAATCCCACCAGGGTATCGCAAGAATCCCTGGTTACCAGCTCTGCAGACTCGCCGAACGACCCTACAAATGGATCGGTTTTTTTTCTTCGTTTTCCATGGTCCGAGGACCCGTGTTCGACCCTTCCTTTCCCCCGAAAACCTGGTTTGAACCCTCATCGCCATCCCCTTCAAGCGAGCGCTTTGGTTCGTAACGCAGGGGCTTGGAGCGTCCAGAGCCTCGAAGTCACGCGAGCGTCACCCGCTTCGGCCCTCAGGTGGGGTGCGGGGGATGACGCGGTGAAGCGTGGAGGGCGTGGTTTGGCGTGGTCGATGTGGGTGGAGTTGAAATCCATTGACATCACCTCACAAAGGTAGGGCGTTGAAGGCCCTGTTGCCAATACCTTACAGCTGACCAGGAACTCTTTGCCCCAAACATAGGTCCTTCTCTTTGGATTGATCGTGGATTCATAGCCTAAACCATCAAGCCCAAACGGCTGGTTGGTTTGTTTCATCGATCAAAGCAATCTCACCTAGGCCTGATGTCACAACGTCCTCAAATCCTTGGACCTTCCAACCAACCAGTCACTGCCAGTCACCTCTTAGACCAGATGGTGTTACAAACCTATCAGACCGAAGACACCGTCACCCCTGTTTGGGGCCGCGTGATCGGCGGGGTGTGCTTCGATCCTTTCTGCAGCTCCTCATCATGGCGTCCAAGCAGATGCCCAAGCGCTTGGCCCGGACACCGAGCTTCCGCGAATGCCTTCAAGGCACGCGTGTGCTGCGTCCGGTGCGCCGTTGGAGTCTCAGTCGACAGTGGAGAAACCAGGCACAAAAACGATCCCCCTGGGGGTAAAAATATGTAAAAATGATTCTGTTGTTTCAATCCTGGGGAGCTCCAACCAGAAGCTTCTGACGTGTCGTCTGTATTTTTTAGTCATAAGGGGGTTGAGTGTCCTTCTTAAGATTCTTGTAACCATGATCATCATTCGGAATATCTGAGGGGAATTCAAGATACAACTCCGCCGAAAGGGCCATTTGGCATGAAGACCCATGAACCTTCTCATTGATTTGTCCATGATATCATTTTCCTGGTTGGTCTCGTGCTAATTTCTGCAATGTTTCTTTTAATTGTTTTTGCTGTCTGAAAGATGGCCTCCCCCTCAAGGTCTGCCACATGGTGTTGTGACGAAACATGAAGAACCTTCGTGAGACGTCATTGATGGGAGTCGGAGCATGACAGGTTGTTTCGCTGGAGGGCTTGCAACACTTGTAAAGCCTCGCTGCGCGCTCCGGAACTTTCACAGAATCACTCAGCACCGCCGTCTCTTGAACGGTCAGTGGCCATACCTCCAACGGTGGCCATGTCTCTTGAGCCGTCTCTTTCACGTCACTCGCGTCCGGATCGAACCTGTTCGGATGTCAGACTCGTGGCCCCCTCCGGAGTCGATGGTCTCTGTCCGGAAAAGGAGTATGACCAAGCATGTGTTACGTCGGTAGCCCTTTTGTTGATGTTTTGTTGGCTAAGGATGGCTAGGTGCATGAACAGCATGGCTGAATAGCATGGCTCAAATCCAGTAGCATGGCTTTTTGTGATGCTCAGCCACGAGGTCATTTTGGGCAGCGACGAGCGAGAGCATTGGTTTCTCGTGAAAGGTGGCGAGGACCCACTGACGGCCAAGCCGTCGGGCAGACCCCATTAGATCACTGTCATAGGGTGGAGAAGGGTCTTACATTATAACATTGATACACTTTGATGATTCAGTGGTTCAGGACTGTTGACGATCAATAAAGCCCCCCTGAGGGTTAAGCATCTTTGACTTTAGGAGGTTGATTCATGAGATCAAGAATCAAGAGTTTGTTCTTTGAGGTCGCAAGAGATTCTTAATCTGTTATTATAGAAAAAAGAAAACACAACAAAACATAAAGATGATGTGATGGCTTGCGTGGATTGTTAGGGCTGCTTGGGGCTGCACTTTTCTCGACCAGGACCCCTTTCCGGTGACGGACTTTGCTTCCGAAGGTGTTCGATTAGGTGTTCAGGGTCAACAGCTGCAACAGCTGAAGGTCAACAAAATTGGACCAACACATTTTCAGAAACAGGCTGAGCTCAACTTGTGTAGCATCGTGGCATGGATCGTCGGTCCATGACTGCTGAGCCGCTCGGCCTTTTGGGAAATCTAGGAGGACTTGGGGGCGAAACCTGTGATGGTTTTATATAATTATATGTTTCTGTGGATCAACCGTGTGTATGTGTTGGTGAAGAAGTCCTTGACATGGCAGAATCCTTTGAGGAGGAAACTCCCAAACTACTACTTGTTCCTCCTGACTGCTCACTAGTCACTGGTATTTGGAACTCGATCGTTTTATATTCGGGTACCCCTTTCTTGAGAGACTGACAGTTACACAGCCTTTTTGAGGTCCAGTCAAAGTGCCAAGTAGTTTATGTGGGCCAGTCAATTCTGTAGTTTCATCGTTTCGCCTAAAAGAAAGGATTGTCCAATGAATTTCTTATTGAAAAAACACTGTAGCCACTGAAGGATTGCCAGATTTCATTCAGGTTGCGAGCGATTCAACGCATCCAACGTCTAGCCATCCAACATCAAAAGGGTGACGCATCGACCGCCATCAACCCCATGCATGCTCGAACAAACACCACCTGGAGCCCCCTGCATGCCTTTTGGATCCATTCTGTTTCAAGGGCTGGTACCCCCGGTGTTTGCGCACGGAAGCACTTAGTGTCTGCCAAAGCCAATTCGGCCTACGCAGGACGTGCGCTTGGATGAGCGCGTGGAACAGCTCTTTGGCATCATCAATAGCATGGCTCCGGATGCTGCTGGGCTCAGGCGTATGGCCCGGTGTCCGATCTATGATCCAAGACTGGTCCAACATGGTCGAACTCTTAATTAAAAGAACAAACTGACGAAGTCTTCCGCCAAGCATATACGGCACGCCTCATCATGGAAAACCGGATTCCAGGGAAACCCAGTTTTCCTGTTAGGCTCAGTATATCAATGAATCTCATAATGGGTAGGCCAACCCCAAAACTCGGACTGCTCTCCACCATCTCCACCCACTGCTATAGATGGTAGAACCTACCGCTGCATCCACGCAGGGTCCGCACCTATTCGGTGATTCCGCTCTTCCCCGACCTGGGCGCATTGGAATGGGTGCGTGAGACGTCCGGGGTGCCTAGTGGGGACGGTGTTTGGACAGCCGAGATCGGCGGAGCGTTGGCGTCCCGCCGATGGGTTTTGGTATGAAGCAGTGAACAAACTGGTGCCATTCCGGATGATGGGATGGTGTGGGTGCTTTTGTTTTCTTGTTTTTACATAATGGAGCCAGTCTGTGGAGGTAGTTGACAGAAGTGACTCCAGCCACCGATCTGATGTTTGGCATATCATGTTACACCGTTACACCATGTTACGTCCTATTACCCCCATTAATTAATCAGCATACTATATGGCTATATCCTTTAAGCCCTTATCAGATCATCATTCAATCAGAGCTGGCCAAGCTGCTCAGTTGACAGCGTGTTTGGACAAGTCTATGAGTGCATTTGGCCTCGTGTTTGCTCGACTGAGTTCCCTTTCAGTACCTCTTTGGTCCACCAGTCCGGTCACCGTGTCCGGGTGGGTCATCTGCGACACTTCAATCGTGCGAGAGAAGGCGGAGCAGAAGGTTCTGCGATGCTTTGACAAAAGCGGATTTATTGAAGACGACTTTTTCTTGAAACCACCGAATAGATCCGATGGCAGGATATCTCGTTTGTGAAGACAACACTGCTTGGAAATCCCAACCTTTGAGCATTTGCACAGGTTTGTAGCTAAAGAGCATCCAGGCTGTACTACAGGGTTCCAGACACAGCGGTTTGAAGGTTCTGCGTCAAAATCCGAAAGGTTCCTGCATTGTTTAAGCGATCAAACACCAAAGATCAAGATCGTAACGACCGTCTGAAAAAGATGCTGAAGCTCGAGCCAGTTGTTTGGCCGTTGTTTGGAGATTTGGTAGAAGAAATTCTGATGTTTTCCCACCCCAAGGATCTGACATTGATGTTCACAGTTTACAGGGTGCCAATATCCCACCACACTTTGCCCCCAAATGGATTTTGTTCCCAGAGTCATCCAGACCATCATCCAAACCCATCCAGTGTTTGACCTTCAACGTTATTCCTGCTCAAACTCAACAGGTGAGAAGGGTCAGTCGAGGCATACTATTCAAAGGATATAATTTGTCCGCTGACGAAACAGCTCGCGTGGGACCTTGGCCAGGAAACCGTTGAAGGCCATCGTGCAAGAAACAGCTCGGGCGAAGGAGATGAACGAGATTGAGGTGTAGCGCCCGCACGGGACGTCACGGGACACTGACTTCGGACCGAGGTTCTTGGAGGTTCCTTGGGCTTTGGGGACCTGAGTTGCTTGGTACTTGAATCCAGAGGGATTGAATGTCCCACATCAGGGCCCACGGTATTTCTTGGTGTGCGCGCAGCACCATCGCAGATCTATGGCGTTCTTGTTTTGGAGTCTGGGCTTCTGTCAGCCCCACGCCGTAGCGAGGCACTTTTGAAGCAAAAGAACTGGATTCAGTCTCCACGCTCAGCTCTATCCTTACGGGTGCCACAGCTCTTTTTTTCCCACCAGATGCCCTGGCATTTTTGTGCCATTGCATGCCATTGCTATGATGGGACGCTTCTAGCGCATTGGCACTTACGAAGGGACTTCACAAAGCTCTTCCTATGAGTTGGAACGCAGAGTTTTGATAGTTTTGGGATATTCAAAGGCTTATTAGGCTGCATTCACGTGCATGTTTGTCATGTATAATGACTCATATGGGAAAGCATTCTGAGCATAGGGATCCCCCCACAGACTTTTCGGCAAGGCAAGAAGGAACTTTTGAATAGCTGGGGGTATCCCTGTTATACTACACACCCATTTAGCAAGTTTTAGCAACGTTTATTACCCACATCATCCACTGGAGGTGATATACCAGCCAGAAACATATATATATATATATTATTTAATATATGTATCTGAACCCCCCGCCGTAAACCGTTTGAATCGTTGCTTCGTGATTGGTCTTCACCCCTTGACTCCGCTATGACGCCCATGGGACTCCATGGACTCGTCAGGCACACAAGCTGCGGATCGAGTGGTCGCGGCGCCCAGTGGGACCGTCCGGGACGTCGCTTCAGCCCAAGCGAGACCTCGCTGAACCGCGAGACCTCGCGTTGGCAGAGTCGATCGATGGGACTCAACATGGGGTTCAATTGATGAAAACACACATGAAAGGAAGTCCAGGACCTGGGTCTTTATCAAAAAAGTGTCGTTGTACCAGGCTTCACCAGGTGCGACCCACTTCGAGGGTCAGATTCCGACCCTCCACCTGAGCCCTTCGAGCGGCGCACCGCCCCGGTTTTTCCCAGGTCCAAGCGCTTCGGAGGGCAAGCGGTGCAGAGATATTCTAAGATTTTCGAGGCGCTGCCGGGCGGATTTGTGTTTCTTCTCGGGTGGATTTTCTGGCCGTGGCCAGTTGGACGCTTTTGAGGGCGCCTTTGTGTGATCGCTATTGGGTAGATCGACCTTGGACATCGGTCGAGCAACTTTAAAATCAACTGGAACTATAATCACACGTTCCTCCTACGTTTGTAGTATCAGTATTTTTTTGCTGGAGCATAATTTGGAAAATCGATCATTGCGTGGATCAAACACCCTGCACGATTTGCAGCGATTCCAAGGGCCTATTGTGAAATGCAAATTGCATGTTCTCACGTTAAGCGTGTTCAATTGGCCAAGCGGACTTGATTGTCCAACATCGTACAGATTGTACAAAAGTATTTATATATGTTATTACACCCCCTTGGCCACCAAGAAACTGGGGGTAGGGATGCACTATGTGATAATCAGATGTTTGTTGGTCATTGAACTTGTTGCCTTGCACGCATGCGCGCGCATCAAAAAGCAGCATGTTTTTGGCGCGCTCGCGCAGGCGATGAAACTCTGCAAACACACACGGTATTTACAGTACCCTTATTGGCAACGCCACCGATATCGGCGCTGAGTACTTTGCTGATGTTCATGGTTTTCACATCCAAGCTCTTCGCTCTCACAGTGTCTTTTGGGGGGGGTTGGGGTCACAGGGTGATGTCTTGCCAAAAGAATTGGCCACCGATGCCACGAGTCGCCCCCAGACTTCAATCCCGTTCTTGCATGGCAGTGGCGCAATGTCATCAGGTGTCAAGACTTGTGGGGACTGCCCGAAAAATTCGAGTGACTTACGGAAAAAGGTGCGATATGGCGGATGTCCAAAACTACTCAGTGCCGCTATCGGCGGCGTAGCCCTGTTTTTGCATTAGGGACCCAATGCTTTCGATCCTGAATCCTCAGCAAGTAAAGCAGGTGGTATTTACGGCGTTTTCTTGCCGTGGGATGCAAAATCATCTACCAAACCTCAGGAAATCAATCAGGGTCCCCCACTGAGTTTGGGAATTACTGATTGTTTTTCTGGATTACTTTATCAAATTTGTGTAACTACACAGAGGTATACTGATACCCCCAAACAAAAAACATCTAGAAAGCTTTAACCAGAAATGCTCAGACTCAACAGGGTCTAATAGGCAAATTTGGAGGGATTGGAACTTGGGGGGCCTGACTAGTTCCTGGCAGCTGGGACAGTCGGACAGAAGAAAGAAAGACAGGGGTTAACCACTAGTGAACTAAATGTGTGCTGCAGGGGGCATGCTCCTAAGGAACAAGAGAAGCCAATAGAGATCATTCAAAAAAACAATATGAAATCCATTGAAATCTAACAGAGTACAATAGATGCAAAACATATGCAATACATATCAGATACAGCTTCATACACACAACAAAGAATATGTAGAATAGTCAAATAAACAAATATTGCATGTTTTGCTTGTTATTGTCTTTAGTGACAGATCAATCAGAGTCAGGTTTCATTCAGATCGGACCTCAGATCTAGGGAAAGCTGCAGAAAAGATGCGCGCAACTGTTAATATTAACCAATGTGGTCGTTGACGTCTCATGTACTTTGGATTTGAACTCTGCATAGGCTCAATGATTTACAAAAAAATGAGGTCAAGGTCCACTCTACCCTACCTATACTCAAACATCCCTGAATTAATCAATATTTTGTGTTTTTAATTCAGCACTTTGAAGTGGTTCATTTAGTTAGCTCAATTAGCAAGAACACTGTCATTTGCGACGCGCTTGCTGTCTGAACGTCGCAATCTTGATCCAACGTTGACCAAAAATGATCCAAATCCGCAACAAAACGCAATCTAGAGGCCACTCCAGAGGCCTAAACATGTTTTTTTTGGTGTGATTTCTTTCTGCTGGGGGATTGGTGATGCAGTTGGCGATGCAGAAGATGTGGGTCGGCGGCAGGGCACTCACTGATAGTATCCGTGAACCTACAGGGCCACTGGGGAGAAGGCTTGCAGCGAAAACGGAGGCGCCAGAAAACCTCGCAAGTTGGGCCAGCAGGGGGCTGAGTCTGCAGGACCACCCGGCGTTCGCACATTAAAAGGCCTCCCGGCCATAGGCCAAGCTCGGGTAGTCCCGCAGGGCCACAGGGGAGAAGGCTTGCAGCGAAAAAACGGGCGGGCCAGAAAACCTCGCAATCCGGGCGCCGGCCACGGGCCCGTGTCCTTGCCGGAGGCCTTCGGTGGTAACCGAAGGTTATATACGCTGGCCGCCCCTGCCGCCGACCCTTTTGTTGGACCGCGTGTATACCCCCGCCCGAAGCGTGTCGACAGATTTTTGTGTAATTTTTATGTTCTTGTGCAGGATGTTCGAAAAAGGTTCAAAAACATCGTTTTTTACAGTGTTTCGTGGCCTTCGGCGTCCACGACTGGGCGCCCGTGGTGTCGGTTATGCGTGCCGCGCGGACAGGCTTAATCGACATTTCGTTGGTGTTGGGCACATAAGTTTCCTAACATATCTCCAACATAGGCCCAAGATAGCCAACATATCCCCAACATATGCCCAACATAGCCCCCAAGATGGCTCAACATAGGGCCAACATAGGCCAACATGGGGCCAACATACGCCAACATAGGCCGAACATAGGCCCAACCTAGGCCAAGGCCCAACATAGGCTCAACTTGGGCCCAAGATGTGCCCAACATAGACCACGTGGGCGCAACTTGGCCCAACCGAGGGCCAAGATGCGCACCAGATAGCTTAACTTTGCTCAAGCTTAATCGACATTTCGTGGGCGTTGGGCACACGTCAACAGCAAAGGCGGAACATGTGCTCCGAGATGATCTGAAAGAGGCCTTCAAGAGGACCTCACCTAGTCCCAGCCTATGGTACACATAGCCGCAAGATGACCCGACCTAGGTCTCACATATGGGAAACATAGCCCCTAGGCGGGCCCAGATTGCCTCAAGATGTGGCAACAGGCCTCACACAGTCTTAACTGGGCCCAGACTGCCTCAAGATGTGGCAACATAGGCCTCACACAGTCTCAAAAAGAGAGAGAGAGAGAGAGGGAGACAGCGAGAGAGAGAGAGAGAGACAGAGAGAGAGAGAGAGAGAGAAAGGGAGACAGCGAGAGAGAGAGAGAAAGAGAGACAGCGAAGACAGAGACAGTGACTACAGAGAAGACAGAGACAGAGACTACAGAGACAGAGACAGACAGAGAGAGCGGAGGGAGAGAGGAGAGAGAGAGAGAGAGACAGAGAGAGAGAGAGAGAGAGACGGGATGGCAGGACATGTGCAAGACGGCTCTCCCGACTTCGGCGTATAGCAGGTATACGCCCGGGCGGTCAGCCCCCTTCTCGAGAAGGACGCTCCCGGGACGGTCAGCCCCCTTCTCGAGAAGGATGCTACCGGGACGCCCGAAGTCCCGGTCCCCGTCTTGCACAGGGAGGGGTTGTTCGGCCCCCCACCGACTGAAGATGTAGACGGTGCGCACCTGGCGAGAACGAATTCGCGGACATTGCACTCTGCACGCATCGTTCACAGTTTCACAGTTTCTTGCAGTCTCATCGCTCTTGCGGCGCTCGCTGACCGGTCTTTTTTTACTGCTACAGCTGGTTGTTGTCATGAAGTTGACCGCGTGAGCGATGCTCTGGCGGAGGCTAGAGCGAAGGCGCAAACGAACCCAGGATCTGTGCGGTTGGACGCACGCGGCGTCGAAGGTTCGACCGCTTCTTTGGCTCTGTTTCGACCGCTTGCAAAAGTTCCAACCCAAACAAGGCGGCCGCCCAAGGTCTCGCTTCATTTCGGCCCAGAGGAATTCGCAGAAGCGGAGATACCGCTTGCGCATCTGCGCTGGAGTAGCGGTCATGCAGTCAGCAATGGCGCGAGCAAAGAGCGGATGCTCGGGGCTGCACGCCAAGATGTTGCCTTGGAAGACATGCTCCTGATTCGCACCTCGGCTCATGATCAAGTGCGGCTGCTCCTCCAACTTTCCATCCAAGACCCAGTCTGCGATGGAGACCGCCTCGGCCGTAGTCTGCGCGATGCGCTGTCCCTCCGGCGGCGGCTGCGCGATGCGCTGACTTGCCTCTTCCGAGGACTGCGCGATGCGCTGTCCCTCCGGCGGCGGCGGCGCGATGCGCTGACCTCCCCCATCTGTGGGCTGCGCGATGCGCTGTCCCTCCGCTGCGGTCTTCGCGGCTGCTACCAAGCGGTTGCCCTCCTCATAGATCTCCCGAAGGGTGTCTTCCAGCGGCTGCAGCAAGCACATCTTGATGTCCATGTAGTAGCCGCCTTGCGCGTGGAGGCGCAGGTAGCGCCAGAGGTCAGCGCGGTGCGAGGCCTGTGTCCAACTGCGATACCTCGCCAACAGTGCTTCGCCACCCACTGCCAACACTTCTGCCTCGCAACTTGGGTCGTCCACAAAGTCTCGCCGCAGACTGGGGGCGAACTCTTGCATCATCCGCGCCGACTCGGGGTAGTCCGCGTAGCATGTCTGCCATAGGATCTTCGGGGCGGCCTTCAGACTGGGCGCCACTTGCGTCCACGGCAACTTCACGGCAGCATGCGCGGACAACACCTGCACGACCTCTGCCCATGTGCGCGAGCGCGCTAACCTCGCTGCCACGAAGTTCTCTGCCAAGATCTCCTTCTCTGTGCAGTTCCACCCCGCGCAAACCACCACGGCGATCCAGGGGTCGTTCGCCGCTGAGCGATGCTCTGCGGCACTGTCTTGCGCTGAGCGATGCTCTGCGGTTGCAGCGACCCCTCGCTGCGCTCGCATGTCCTCGAGCGTTGCCGTCACCAAGGTGTCCATGGCTCCAGGCGCCTCTGTATTCGAGAAATGCAGCTGGTCTTTTCTGTTCGCATAGGCTTTCCCCACCAGGCTGAGGATAGTGCGAGGTGTCTCAGGCACTCCAAAGCACTTCCTCGCCAACTGCAAGCCTTCATACTCTCTGCCAGGCACTGACTCCCGTGCAGGAATGATGCCCACCTGCGCCGCGTGCTCCGCATGGAACGCTTCCAGACCT